TATATAAAAATAAAAATAAATATATAAAAGCTATATATATTGCATTTTAATACATTCCACTTAATCGGTAATAAAAATATTAAATCATTAACCATTGATCACCCTCTTCTATCACTGTGATATAAATAGAAAACAACTCGTAAATAAACACTAATATGTGAGGGATCACTTTTTAGATATACTGCATTCAAAAGTATTCCGGGGGCAATTACTGTAAAACCGTATTTTTCGCGTACAGATATTTCCATGAATTCAACCTTGACGCGACAATTTCGCGAGTGGTTAATTTCGCGGTCGGTTACTTATGTTTAATTCGGTATGAAAATGATTTGCGTGTTGTTATTTTCACGGTCCCGGGGATGCGCCTTCGCGAAATTTGCGGAAAATTAAACAGCGAAATATACAGCTTATACAGTAGGTAATTATTTGGAATTTCACATTTTGTTTCGGCCAGCGCAACGTGACAAAGGTCGTGGCTCTGCAGCAGGCTATCAAGTTCAACGGCGCGTGGGCACATCAATCCAGCATCTTCTGGAAGAACCTCTCCTCCTCGAGGGAGGCGCCGTCAACCAAGTGGTCAGTCTCCATCATTGGATTCCAATTTATTTCTCTTTTTTTTGTCCTCCATTTCTTCTTTTTTTCTGTTGCCTAATAAATGGCGTCGGTGGTTGGGCCCTAGTAATATATTTTTGGCAGAATTTTGTTGTCGAATATACGTGTCTCGCCGTTTATGTTCGGCTCATTGTTATTTCAAGTTTCCAGCAGTGCCTTTAACCCTATGTTCACACTTTATATGGCGAGAATTTACATTTAATTGATGCCTAATTATAACAACTGAGTAAATACAATATTAGCGAAATTATTAATCTCTATTACATTTACTTAATCATTGCTTGTCTTAAACAAAAATATTTCGCCCACTTATGCATAAAATATAAGATTGCTTTCATGTGATAAGAAATTGTCCATTTGTGTGCAAGGCCTGAGTTAACCCCCATATCTTCTACACGCTTAATATGTAAATTGCATGCACATATGACTGGACTAGCTGGAGAGCTACATATTCGGAGAGGCGAATGCTAAGTATCCGAGTTTTATAGCATACACCTTTTAGTGCATTCACGTTTAGATCAAATGCTGAAGTTAGATATAAAGTTAAAGATGCATTCCCACGCACATTTTTGTGACAAACCGACTTAAAGAGACTAAGTAAATAAACTCGCTACACTTTGAACTGAACGTTAGGCTATGGAAAAATAAACTGGTAAAAATGATTGTATCCAAGGCCTGATATTCCCTCAACGAAAAAGCAAACCTCGAAAAAACGCGTTTTGCGCCACAATTCTGGTATCAGTGGCGGCAAGAGTCGACACAGGTCACGTCATACGAGGCGACAGCTATAGATATCAGTATAACACATTGTGTTATATGCATGTATCCTATTGCAGCATATAATATATGCTGCCTATCCCAAAGCTAACCATATAACGTTGTGCAGACGTTGGTCACAACGTTTCACTTACGTTGGTTGAAAACGTGATACCAATGTTTGGGGGCAACGTTATTTTAGCCGTGCGCTTTATCACCCTGCGCGCGAAGTTAGCTGGGCTGGCAGAAACCCGGTTTTGTGCAGCCCACTTCGAAAAACCGAGCTTTTTTACAAGTGGGTTTGAACGCAATTAGGCTCACTAAATCGCCGCTCAAAATAGCGCACTGCCCAAAGAACACTTCGACTGCCGCTACATTCTGGAATAAGCGACGCTTATATTGCCACCCCGCGGCGTGTTATCCCGCTCGCGATTAGCCCCGAGATATTCCGCCTGTGTGGAACAACGACACAATTAGCGCCTCACTATTATCCTCTGCTATTAGCGGGATGAGCAGCGCGTTTTTTACTTGGACACAATCGTGAACACGCCTATTGTAGATTCCCTGAAACGTTGCCACAACGTTGTATGATTGTGATGACAACGTCCTTGTAACGTAAAATTTCCTGCCCAACCATGTGTACGTACACTTCAATATGAATATTAATATGTGGTAATTAATGCCTTCACAAAGCAAAAAAGAATGGTGAATGCGACATTATTTCATGGAACATCAGCGGAATTTTACATTCATTTAAATTGACAATGCGATCTGTTAAGCGCTATGAACAAATTATAGTTTAATTTTTAGTTTTTTGTCAATTTTGCCATTAAAAATAAGTTAATATAGAGGGGGGGGGGGGGGGGGGGAGGAGGGGGGGGGGGGGGGGGGGGGGGGGGGGGGGGGGGGGGGCGGGGGGGGGAGGGGGGGGGGGGGGGGTGGGGGGGGGGTTTTCAAGTATGTGCACAATTGATAGAGCTCAAAAATTAAAAAGGAACACTAACAATTAATAGCTTGGACATGTTTTTATTTTACATTAGGGCTACACTATTATACAATAAAGGTACATTACATATCTGGTATTTAATCGAATCGTTTTCGTGCGCTTAATCTGGCCTCCCCAGTCCGGGCGTTTACGGTTGCGACGTTAATTGATATCTACGTTAACGGTGAAACCTAATATATGGGCGCCGGGGGCCGGCCCGCCCGGCGGCGGCGGGCGGCGCGGGCCCGCCGCGCGGCCGCGCGGCGGGGCCTGCCGCGGCGCCGGCGCGGGCGGGCGGGCGGCGCGCGGGCGCCGGGGCGGCGCCCTTTGTACAATATTAGGAGAGAATTAGCAAACCACCTAATTGATAATCCCATGGACACACATCTGCAGAAGTTCAAGGAGGCCAGGAAAATACATAGCACATTGTCTGCTTTATGAAAACACAACGCCATCACCAGGGTTCACCTGAAAAACTTGATTTAGGGTGACTTTGGCGTATTTTTATCTCTTTCTTGAGTATGGGCTCCTCCTCATCATTTTCAGATTTCGAATTCGACCTTGCTCCACCAACTTTAGCATGTCTCAGCCGGCTTGTTCCATAGCATTTCTAACATGTGGAAAAAGATTATGATTGACTTGCAACAAAAAAATTTTAAACAAATAATGCCTTGCGCATAGATGTATACAAATATTATGTATACAAATATAAAGGTTTATAGGGGTATTTAACCTGTGTATGAAAACACTCTGATCTGGTTCCGCAGTATCAGTCCAACTTATCTGGTAACTCCCGCTCTTCTTTACATTGGGCAGAAGTGTCATTTGTTTGCCAGTACGGCAGTACAGAGCCTGAAGCTAATGAACATGTACATAAGTTATAGTTGCTGTATATTTATAGTAAATACTATAAAAAGTATTACAGTTTATCTGTACACTAATATTTAGGTAAATCAAATAGTGAATTCACTTGCATACATCACATCTTCCACATATTGCCAGCGGGAGATTGAGGACCAGCAATGACGATGGCGACACTGTGTAGTGCGTGTATTTCCCCTCCGGCTTCTTTCATACCTTGCTGAAGGGCTTCACCGAGCTGCTCCTCTGCGGCATTCAGGTTGTTCACGTACGTCTGGTGATGCTTGCTGTGGTGCAGCTGCATGATTTCGGCAGAGATGTAGGGCGCGAGTGCGCCATAGTCGTACGGGAGGTCAGGGAGAGTGTGCTTGCAGCGTGCTTGACCCTGCAGTGACCTATAGTGACAAGGGACGACACGTTAGGAGGCAAAGCACAGAAGCGTGTCACCGACGTGTTTATACTCGCGATTTGTGCTTCTAGATTCTTCCAGTGCTGCTCCTGGAAAGCTGTGCAAACAGTCAGCCCTGCAGATGTCCTGCATAAAACAAAGTACTTGATCTTGTTAGCATTTTTGAACACGTTTGTTCAATTTACCCTTACCTTTTTACCCCTCCTCTTACTTCACCTCTTCCTTTACATTTTCGAGCTTCTCACTTTTTGTGCCTACTTTCTTCTGTTACAACCAGTTTTTCCCATGCTCTATCTTCATCACCTCCTCTGCGTCTACTTTCTTCCACTATCTAGTACCTCGATCCACTATCTCTTCGACCATTAGCTCTAGAACTATAGCCCTTCGCTCTGCGACAGGCAGAGCAAAGGGATATGGTTCTATAGCTATTCGACCATCTGCTACTCTGCCCTTTTCTCCTCCCATACTTCCTGTACAGTTTCTTCCTACTCTACCTTCTCCCCTTTCATTTACTCTTCTTTATCTCATCATTTTACCCCTAGCTTCTTATATGTTCTCCCTCTTGCCACAGTCCACCACAGTCAAACTACAGTCTTAGTGTTCAGTATAGTTTCAGTACTAGTACATACATGTGCAGGGTGCGAAATTAAAGGGAGTCCGGAGTCAAATACTCCCTGATTTGACACATACAGGAATCCGTGTGACTCCCTGAAAATTCTGCCATACTAACCAGTTCGTGCCAGAGAACGGCCTCGCGGAATTACCATATTTTTCAACTAATGTCCAAAGAAAATTTGGCAGACGTGCAACCGCATGAATCATAAGCACATGCGTTATTGTTAATAAAGTATTTGTTCTCTGGAAAGAGCAAAGAAGCCTCTTGAATATTTTCACATGATGGGCACGAATACAAATAGAGCCGTTCTAAACCGATCGAGCAAATAGCAAGCAGCTCTCTACCTGCGTTGAAGAGTTCATGGTGATTGTTTGTCAGTGAAGGCCCTGCAGCGCAGCCCGCAGGTCTATGGTTGCTACATGTCAATTGCGAAAGCCACTTGAACGGGGCGCGAAATTTTTTTCCCCACTCGAGTTCCGAACCACAGCCAATCAGCGCACTCCATTCACTCGACTTCCTCGAAGCAAAATGTAAAATGAATACCACCTAACCCTAACCCTAACCCTAACTATAATCCAACCATATATATACGAACCTTATAAGTTATATTACAAAACACTATGTATGGTGGGTCCGGAACTGAAGTGGGGAAAAAAATTTCGCGAACGGGGCTGCGAGTAGATTCTACGCGTGCGTGCACATACACGCGAGCGCGTACGGCAGCGCTAAGTGCCTCAGTGCCTAATTATTCTGCGCATTTACTTCTACTGTTATTCAAACATTCTTTCATGAGATTTTCATCTTCAACTTTCCGCCACATCACACAATCTGCTGTTGTGCTAGGAAGCGCCCTCCCCTCAACTCCGCATTTTCACTCATATATACGTACCCGCCGACGTTTCAACGTGAGTACGGGGTACAGGGACGCACTACACTGACTGGCCTACTTCGCGCGCGTGTGTGTATGTGTGTGTGCGTGCGTGCGTGCGTGCGTTCGTGCGTGCGTGCGTTCGTGCGTGTGCGTGCGTGTGTATATAGTTGCAGAATGTGTTTCAAGGTGTGCTGAAGCCAACTTAATAACCGCTGCCTTGTTGCTAAAAATACGACCCGGCCAGCGACGCATTGCGGCGGATTGGAGGCCAGTCTGCGCATGCGCCGGCATACACAAGGCGCATTTAAAATAACAATACAATAAACGTAAAGGAAATTGCTTCCGCTAATTTTAGCCATGTTCGTCGTCTGCTGGGAAATCCCGAAACGAGTAAGAATCAGACAGCAGCCATGTATTCGCCATCTCCCCATCTCTCTTTTTCTCTTACTCTTTCTCTCTCTCTATCTCTCTCTCTCTCGCGCTCTCTCTC